GGCTAAAGCAGGTTAGCGAAAAGACTCCAGGTGTGACACAGCCTGGCAATCTACATGATCTCCTGCCGGGTGTAAAAACTACTGCTGCATTGCAGCGGCCAAGTGCTGCCCAAGTGTGGCTGAAGTGTCATAAGATTCTTAAGTGGCAGCCACTTCACGCTTGCTTGAGCACCAAACAGAAGAACTAGACAAGAGTGGGGCAGAAAGCAACTTGTTCGCACCCTCAGGCACACACACAGATGTACCTTGTCAGCACCAGAAAGTGGGTTTTCAAGGAGGTGCACCAAAAAATTCTTGGCCACTCGAAAAACAGGATACAGACAGAGTGCAGTTTTTCCCTTGTCCACTTGAGCATTGGGCTAATGGCCCTGGTTACTCTCTTGGGCAGCACTTGAAAGGCACTTGGGTCAATCATGGCCCATCATTCTTTATTGTTCAGTCACCCAGTATGCCTATGAGACTATAGTCCACACCCAGGTCGTCCTAGTAGCACACACAGCATTCTTTACAGACAGAGGCAACCAACTAACTACTTACTTCGCACTGCCCTGCCTGGCATTTATTTTTCATTTTTTATAAATTGGCATATCAAACACAGAACAGAACACACCATCTACAGTGTACGGTGTACGTGCACAGGTTTTGGGCGTCTGCACAAATCCCCCAGTCCACTCAATCAGTGCAATTAAGTACACACTATAACCAGTACTGGTTTCATGTTTTGTCTGTCTGCAGTGTGGCAGCACCACCTGTCCAATGCTCTCAGGGCACAAGAACCATTAGAGACTGACTTTAGGCCAAGCAGCAGAAGTCAGAATTGGAGAAAATAGAGATAGGCGACTGTCAGACCGGCTAGCTGGCTCCAAGGCTCAGCTAACTGCAGGGAATGCCCACAACATTGCACACATAGAACTCCCTTTGGGTGATAGCGTACGTGCAAGGGATTAAGAATGCTCAGTGGCTGTGACGTGCTTAGCATCACAAATTCACAAGCATGCAGGTTTTTTTTCTCAAATTCCTAGTGTGCACATGCTTGTGTTGTACGTTGTCAAGCCGGGATGACCACTGCTCCTGGAACAGTCCTCCAATGCACGAATGTACATGCTAAGACCAAGGATATACCTACTCTGGTGGTAATTGAAATTCAGCACACCCAAACCTACAGGCATAGGACACCTGGCATGCTGATTTCTTCAGGTAATGTTATCTACATCCCCATATAGAACTACATGAAATCTTCCACCCTGGCTGAGGCTACTGACAGTTAGTGCTAGCCACCACCACTGATTCAGGACCAGTCCACAGTCCAAATATGCTGGCAAGCTCCTTGACATACTGTTAAAGCTCTCAAAAAAGGCAATTAGGACAATATGCTGCTTGAAAGTAGTTTCTGCATAACAGAATACTAATCCCTCACATCCCTGCAGCATACAGTACTGTTGGACACCAAATAATGGAGTGTGTGAGAATGGCTTGGACGCTAACCCTCCAGTTCTTCTACACCGGACAGTACTACTATACAGCAAGAGCCGGACTCAGCAGCAAAGGCGCTGAATCATTCTCACATTAGAAATAGAGGACTGGCAAAAATGCCTGAGTTGAAGTGGCTGGGCTAGGCATCTGGGCACTTTGACAGCACCAGTGGGGCGTCCCACCGCACAACACTGGCCTAACTTAGATCACCCATGTACAATAATTACAGGATCCTCAGTGATATCCCATCAGCGTTAGAACATTTCCATAAGCCATTGCAGCATTCATGGAGGAAAGGGACCATGGCATGGTATTGAAGTGCTAGTATTCTCCATCATGTCCAGGACCCAGAACGTCAGGTAATCAAGTCCTTGACTATTCATGCTTCAAGTACACCACATGAGTCACTTCTAAACCTCTACTTAATCTCTAGAAAACCTCTACTGTGCAGTAGTGGGTACATGTGGTACTAGCATCAATGGGTTATGCCAGTCAGTTACTGTGACTAACAGCATGCAGGGTGTGATAGGATAGGCATGACAGTGGGGGGGGGGGGGGGGGGGGACTTGTAGAGAGAAGCTCCTTGTGTAAAATTACATTTGAAGTAAAACGTACTTCACGACCCACTGGTGTGTCTTGAAACACTCTCTGTACTGTAGCATGCTGAGCAGCAAGCCAAACTGGCAACAAGGGGGCTAACAAACATTATTGGGTCTGCAAGGCCCAGAATGCTGTCCACGGATTGAAACGCAGCAGTATTAGCAACAGGGCAACACAAGCCGAAACACTGCAACAAAGCCACTCCTGGTGTCAATTATGCCAGCTGGCCGCTAAACAATCACTGACACACGTACACCTTGACAAAAGTTTGTGCTGCCTCGATTTCTACATGTACACACACAGACCACCGCAGCCAACAATGTTACATGGCAACAAGTCGTCGGTGATACGGCCCCTGAAAACAGTCAACACCTTGAGATCTGGCTGAAAGTGATTGCGGGAAATCGCTTCTTTTCGCAGCCCTCCGCCCCTAGGCTATACGGCACATTGGTGTTAAGCGACGTTCAAGATGGAGCTTGGCCTGGGACAGGAAATTAAGCACTACGAATACTGTGCGTGTGCATGTGTACGCGGTTTTTCAGTACCACTAGCAAAACACAGTGCTGACAACATACAAGTAGTAAAATAGTTCAAGCTCACCAGTCAAGTGACATACACACACAGACACACACACAGACACGCTCCCTCTCTTGGAAATAATTAGGACACCTGAGCCGCACGCAAAGCGGTGCATCGCGACATCAATCCTCATTCCTGCACTCGGCGGGGGCCCACCTGTGGGCACAGAGCCAGAATTAACCAAGTTTTTCGACACCCTGGTCGCGTAAACATCTTCTGCTACCCGCGTGCCTGTGTACTGCCCTCACTGTTGCCAGAAACAATACAAGTACCACGACAGCTAATTGTAATCAGCTGGTAGGGGGAAACTAGAAGCAGGCTAGCTTCACAAACCTCTGTATCTACTTAAAAAGGCCTGTCGCCCCAAGTGCCATCCATGACTTTAAATACAACCCTGGATGGTCGGAACGGTTCCTGAAAACTTGCTCGCCAAACGGACATCTCCCCGAGGATCAGAAACACATTGGAGGGACGGAACAGAACGCGAGCCGACTAAAAGCGCGGCCACATGGCGCAACCAGGTATCCATGGTCGGTTCCAAATAACGTACAGGTCACTCGTTGTTCGCTGGGAGAGCCCGGCTAGAAAGGCGGCGGGTAATCAACTATTTCCACCGGCAGCCGGTATTGTTGTGTCACACGACACACGGAATATAATATTGCTCGTGTGCGGATCACGCGATCCATACGTGCCAGCCTGCCCTGCTGGCGAGTTGAGCTCTTCTTCCGTACCGGGATATGGCAATCGATGTCTTGAAATACGCACGTGTAGACACGGACAAAGACAGAGCTACTACGATCCTCGAGTAACACGCTCTCATCACCAGAGCCCTTCACAAGTGACCGCCACTTGGAAACGTTGCTCGGAGATGACGGTACAAGCGCGTACACACACGTACACACGTACACACACGAGCGGCGGCAGATTGATGGACACCTCTAGCTCTTAAAGCGATTACACATCCTGAGCACTTGAACAAGTACATGAAACGAGCCGGCACAGAGGACACCCAGTGAATGAAACAAATCACAAGTGTGTACGCACACCTGCTCGCATGCTCGGGGCTGCTTAGGGGCCGGCAAACTAATCCAGTGCAATACACGCAATCTGCTTGATAGCTCTGGTCAATGCATCTACATGCACAAACTCAGCTCAGTTGGTATCGCCACTTTAGAATGCCTGCACTCCTCGTGGAAGAAGTTAATCTCTGTCGCCGTCTGACACTATAGGCCCTATCTTGTCACACTTTGCTACACTTTACAGAGTGACAGATGGGGTAGGTAGAGGCCATGTCAGGAGGGCGAGGGCTCTGTTTGCATATACATGTACGTGTACGCTACTGAATTCGCATGATCATCCGTCAGTCGGTCACAAGAACCGCTTGCGTCGGACGGCCATACCAGCAATGGGTGATCCAGGGATCCAGGGTGTATGCGGTTAGCAGGTTTTCCACGCACCTCACTCCACATTTTCTAACTTTTCCGCCGATGTCTAGTTCTTTCATGACAGCAGTGGCAGGCTTTCGAATCGCCCGAAGACCTCAGTTGTTCGTACGGCCTCGCACGTGATGCGGGTCTTGCACGTGAACATGTGCAGAGAAGGACATCACGTGCACCGACTCGTGCACCCGATCGCCACGACTTCGACTGCTGCATCACGGCGGAAGAGAGCACGAAGCATTTCCTTCGCAGCCAAATCATCAAGAATTTGCAAGCCAGATTATTGCATTGTTCCACTAATTATTGTCAGTTTTCATGTTTTCACTGCTAACGGAGGCTACTTGCCCCAGCACAGTACCCCTGTTCAGCCACTTCATGTCAGGTAAATGATGGTACAATGTCCATATTTGGAGTGGTGCTGTCACCACAATGGGTGATGACACCCTTTCACTGACCTTCGTGCAAGGGTGATGGCGAAGGAATTGCGGCATCTTTTGTTTTCCGCAAAGTCAGGATTACGATACAAGAAAAAAACTCAGATGGCATGCAAGCAGTACATCGAGAGAATTACTCTCTTCTTCGGAGTACAGTCAACTTGGCTAATAACGACTACGGATATAACGACAATTCGCGAATAACGACAGAATTTCCATGCCCAGAGCAAAGTCACATCCAACTGGAATACATATAATGGGACTTCGGGTATAACGACACTTCGCGAATAAGGACACTTTTCTGATGCCCCGCCGAGTGTCGTTATAAGCGAAGTTGACTGTAATTTCACCCGACAAATTTTGTCAGAGCTTGCATATAAAAAGAGGAGGAAGAGAGACAGAATGAAAGAAAGAGAGAGTGAGAGAGACAGACACGGGACGAGCTCAGAAACTCGAGCAGCAACAAGCAACTTACCTCCCAGAGGTACTCGTCCTGGCTCACGGGCATCTGGTACACATCGGCATGGCCTATCTGCTTGCCCCTGTACGGCCCAAACCACTGCTCCGGTTGCAAGCGACCTGAACGATTACACACGCCTATATGACCATCAGCGACTCCAGACAGACAAAGCGACAGCTGAAAAGACAAGACCAAAGAAGAAGAAAAAGAAGAGAGAGAGAGAGAGAGAGAGAGAGAGAGAGAGAGAGAGAGAGAGAGAGAGAGATAGAGATAGAGATAGAGAGAGAGAGAGAGAGATAGATAGATAGAGAGAGAGAGAGAGAGAGAGAGAGAGAGAGAGAGAGAGAGAGAGAGAGAGAGAGAGAGAGAGAGAGAGAGACAGAGACAGAGAGAGACAGAGAGAGACAGAGAGAGACAGAGAGAGACAGAGAGAGACAGAGAGAGACAGAGAGAGACAGAGAGAGACAGAGAGAGAGAGAGAGAGAGAGAGAGAGAGAGAGAGAGAGAGAGAGAGAGAGAGAGAGAGAGAGAGAGAGAGAGAGAGAGAGAGAGAGAGAGAGAGAGAGAGAGAGAGAGAGAGAGAGAGAGAGAGAGAGAGAGAGAGAGAGAGAGAGACAGAGAGAGAGAGAGAGAGAGAGACAGAGAGAGAGAGAGACAGAGAGAGACAGAGAGAGACAGAGAGAGACAGAGAGAGACAGAGAGAGACAGAGAGAGACAGAGAGAGACAGAGAGAGACAGAGAGAGACAGAGAGAGACAGAGAGAGACAGAGAGAGACAGAGAGAGAGAGAGAGAGAGAGAGAGAGAGAGAGAGAGAGAGAGAGAGAGAGAGAGAGAGAGAGAGAGAGAGAGAGAGAGAGAGAGAGAGAGAGAGAGAGAGAGAGAGAGAGAGAGAGAGGGAGAGAGAGAGAGAGACAGACAGAGAGAGAATGGAATTGATCTACACAAGGCAAACCCCATAATCCATACACCGGGCATGGCCACTACCACCACTTTGTGCCACATCCCATACACATCTATCACCCCAGTCCGTACGATACTTGTTGGTTAGGCTTCACCAGGCGATGAACAGCCCGAATGCTCGGTGGTGGTGGTGGCGGCGGCGGCGACGGTGGTGGTGGATGAAAGCAGTGATGCTGGGGGATAAATTTCCTTTAAAAAGATGAGTTGATTGCAACTGTGCATTCATTTCATGGCATGCACTGATTGTCTTTTCGGCAAGCGTTATCCCACAGTCCCCACACCCTCAGCGAAGGTCAAGAACAGTCTGCACTACAACCTTCTTCACATGCCATGCCGACAGCAAAGTACTGTCTGTTTCGTTCTCCCCTCTCCCAGCCGTCCGAAAACCTACGGGCAAAGTTTTCTGTCCGTTCCATCTCTCTGGATTCGATGGTGCAAGGAAACAATTGGTAAGCCTTTATCACACAATATTATGACTATTATGTGCACACAATTGTTTATAGGAAAGCAAAATCTTCGGGGCCATCCGGTACTATCGATATTTTTCGCAAAACGAAAACGTTTAGTTATGACCCTCCCCCAGACGAAAAATATATTGACTTGACAGATTGATATCGATTGATGTTTTACCTATCAATTTTTTTCATAACGAAACTCTCCTCGACCCACCCACCCATAAACGAAGCTCTTTTTCGTTTCGTGTAAAACAATTGATAATTATGGACGCCCCCCTTATGACACAAACATTCTCACATGTATAGACCATACAGGGTAGAGTTATGTGGGCTAGAGATGGTGTCCAATAGAAGCAATACCAGCTACAGTTCAGTTGTCTGATGATTGTCTAAGAACATGAAACTACTACTACAACCACTACTACAACAAAGATGCATGGTGCTCTCTGACTTGTGTGTAAGATAGAGTAAAACCTGCCAAGACGACTACTCGGATACGCCGACTACCTGTCCTAGAAGACTAATGCAACCAGGATCAAGGGATGCTAGCTATTTCCACTCAAATGACCTTTGATAAGGAGACCACCTGGTAACAGAGACCACATTGTCAAGGTCCCTTGAGCAGTCGCCTTAGACAGGTTTCACTGTAGCCCTGTTCGCATGAACACTGAGAACTCTCCCGAACCGGAGGTCTCTTATTTGCAATACCAGCTACAAAATGCCACGGACCCCAACACATCGGCACAAGCACCCAGGTTCTGCCACTTGCTCAGACAAGCAACCTAGATGTGTTCTTAGAAACACGCAACTAAGTCATAGGTAAGAAAATACAGTAAAAACTGGTATAAGCGACCAACCCACGGTGCAAGCAAAAGCGGTGGTTAAAGCCAGGTGGTCTTTAGAACCAGGTCCCACAGTGTCTGTGTAGAACTGTCGGTGCATGGAAAAACGGCCGTTAAGAGCAGGTGGTCGCTAAGCACAGAGGTCGCTTACACCAGCTTTTACTGTACCCAACTGTCCCGATAATTCTGTCCCGGATGCTGCCGAGCTGAGTCTTGGTTAATCAACCAGACACTGCTTCGCCCAAAGCAAGTGTGTTTTTTGTTCTTTTCCCCTTTCCCATTCCTCTCGGGCATCCGCTGGTGATCCAAGAGGCATTCATCTTCTGGTTTAGCGTATGGCTGTGTACTACAGTGTACACGTGGACCATTGTACTGTGAACCTCCCAAAAGTTTCTGGCATTTCTGCCATGTACGGGTAACTTATGGATGTGGCAAGTGGGATTTCGGCCGATGATCTCTGGTTGGTGTGTCTGATCTACCCTCCCCCAATGTTCAGGAGCTGATGCGATGCCTGATCACTGGGTGCTGGTATCCCTGGTAAAGCGGAAAGGTGATATGTGATCTGTCCAGTAAGGGGAGCCGAGATATTTATATTATTTATTTACTAAGAACTGTCCCAAACGTGCCAGACCCACTGCCACGACACTTATCAAACCAAGTACAAGTGAACATTGATGAATCTGGTGATGCGTCAATGTGTACTGCAGGGGCCAAGTAGAGTCACTAAGGGTTTAGCCGGGCTCAGATCTTCCAGAAATGCTCTGGACCCATGCCACCAACACACAATGCTCTGGACACATGCCCACAACACACTGGACACATGCCCACAACACACTGGACACATGCCCACAACACACAATGCTCTGGACCCATGCCACCAACACACGGCGAGTGAAGCAAAATGCCAAAAATTGAAATCGTGCAAGCTGGTAATGCCCTATGCCTACCCGCAGCTCGGCTCGTGGCGAGCACCAGGCCATGGTCCATACACAACTGATACCACTCTAGAGCCCAGTGCTGCACAGTGCAATGAAATGGTTAGATCCCTAGATCCTCCCGGAACAAGTGATAGCTTATCAGTGGAGTTTGAGTGATGGAGTTTGAGTGATGGAGTTTGAGTTATGGAGTTTCAAGCCACCTTACCCCTTTGCCAGTATTGGAGCACACCCATACACCCACACACATATCCATACTTGTCAGGAATGCCATACTAGTTTCATGTCATCAAGCAGATGGACGACCACCTCAGGGCTCCCAACACTTCACCACTGCCTATCAAGAAGGAATTCACCCACCCTGGGTCTCCTGCACTCTGTGTGCAGGGCAAGTCCAATTAGGAGAATTGCTACATTTCAGATTGCTGAAACACTTTGTTAGTTGTGCTGAGAGATATGCTGTTGTAAACATCAATCTGTTCAGAATTGCTCAAGGGCTGCTTGACTTCTATTGACTTGCTTAGTGAGATGGACATTAGTTGGTGTTCAGCAGGACTAAGCCAACACAGCATTGGAAATGTCCCTGGCTACAGTGGTAATCAGTGATGCAAAAGGGCACCCATGCCTACGAAACTGGCCAGGGTCGGTCCAATGCTGCCAAACTCCAAAGCTAATCTCCGGCCCGGGCGAGCTGCAGCTGCAGCAGTAGCATGCCATCATGGGTCCGTGTGTAAAACCAAGTGTTGGGTGGTGGCAAGACCAAATGTCATGAGTCGCACTGTAGCTGCCGCTGTAGTGGTCGTGGTGTGTTCCCACTAAGCCTAAACGGAGATTATGTACATGAACGTATGCCGCAGGACACCAACATACTACACAAAACTACCCTCTGTACCACCAACATTATTTCATCCTCCCCCTAACCCATGGCATCTTGCACAACACACACACCGTCTAGGTTCCGTTGGCAGCACATGTTTTGCAAGCTGCATGCACCTTCTTTTCCCAACCTCTCCCCACGGACCCCCACCATAACAGGGACATGTCACAGAAGGCGGCCATTTTCTGATGATCAAACTGATCAAAACAATCCGATCGTGATCCACAATGATGCCTACTCGAGATGCCAGATCACATGATGCACCTCACGCCCCATACGTGACGAAGGAAGGATTTCAAATTTGCAAGAATGCAACGGTATCTGGTATCTGAAGAGACCGGAACGAAATCTCGGCCCACGTCACGACATGGCATTTGCGGGAATCGGTCCCCAAGAGCTAGAGCTGTCTACCTCTCGAAACCTCCCAGTGCGAGGAAGCAGTGGTGCCTAGCTAAGCACAGAACTAAGCTGCACACGAGATGCACACGAGGGCTGCACAGAGTTTGAACGCAGCACTGACCAATGGCAGAGTGCCAGCACTGCAGCAGCGGCTCTTGATCTTTTTCTTCACATTTCACCTCTGACTCATGCAGACCACTCAGCAGAGTGTAGACGCATGCGCACACTCACTAACCACTAACCCAGGCATTAGGCTTGTACATGTGAAGAGTTGGAACACAAAACCCGCTATTAAAATCCACTTTTCCAGCCAAATTTCAGTACAACTCCAAATCTAGATCAGGCCGGCCATTGAGTGCTGTCACCTCGTACACTTATCTTTTTTCTTCGTTTTTTTTTGCACTTGGCGGGTTTTGCATTCCACCTCTTGGTGCACTTGACTGGCTTTTTCAGAGAACAAATGGCTGACTGGCAGCACTAAGACAGCATTGTGCATGACTTCATGACTAACAACACTGCCCTGAGTCCTAACCGGGGTCCATGACAATCCACTCTCCATTTGCCACATCATCTCCTCACGGAATCACACGGAATCACATCAGAATGCCCAGTTATCCTCTACTAGCATTGCGTAGACAGCCGATAGCAAGGACTACTGATACAGGGTGCACCACAACACTACTCCTGTCATGCACAAAATGAAATCACCACAGCAATTAATGGGAAACTGATGACAAGGACTACCTGAGACACTACCGCCATTCACAACATTGTAATCATCACCATAACTATAACTATACGAATGTAAAATTCAAGGATGGCCGCTGTGAGCATGACACGGTCGCAGAAGAGCCCATATGCAAACCCACGCATATCAATTCAACGTAGCCAGTCAACGCTCTGCAGTCCTGCAGTCCAACTTGACTTCAAATTCGCTTGTTGCTCACTGGTGCGGCCCGGCATTGATAAACTCTCCTCATTATGCCAAGCTTGTTCCGGTCAACAGTGAATGGCATGCATGATAATAAGTTTCATCGGACTCATTAGCTTAGACAGGATACTCATTCAGATTAGTAACGCTTGAATGAACAAGCCCAGGATGGAACATCTAACATCTACTCGTAGACTGGCTGGGTGCCCTACAACCCTATCCCCCTCCCTCAACACTCCCCCTTCTTAAACACATACAAACACACGTACACACACGCGTACACACACACATGCACACACACACACATACATACACACATACACATACACACACGTACACACACACACATACATACAGATACACGTACACACACATGTACACACACACACACATACACCCATAGAGAAACCTACCTGTACTGGCAACGAACGTATAGCAGCGAGATCGGACAGACGGCAGTGAGACGGTAGGTCTCTAGAGAAGTCAACTACCTCTGAAGCGAGTAGCTTCAATGCCCTGGCACAATGGAAGTCCCGGCACGGATGGTATGGGCGACACATGCGACAGTTGCGGTGTGCTGTCAACGAAGCCGCAATCAAATCATCGTGCATCGACACACACACACACACACACACACACACACACACACACACACACACACACACACACACACACACACATATGCACACATATGCACACACACACACATACACACATACACACATACACATATACACACATACACACACACACACACACACCATGCCATCCGCAGAAACAAATTACGCTACACAGCTGAAATCTCAAAAATCAATGTCTCATCTCCTTGCCGTACAACCCCCCCCCCTTTTTTTTAAACACATATGGCTGTACTAAAACAATGTTCCTGGCTACCAAAGTAGCATAGTTGTTACATGTCACACACCCTCTCCAACACCAACAACACAAGTTAATATTGCATTGGATCACATGACGCTCTCGACATCCTAGTGTTGACGGGAGGGTCGATGGAAAGGTGCAGTGTTTTTTCCCGTTGCAGTTCCTCCTTGCAAATCAGTGGGACGAACGGACAAACTAAAAATGCGATTTTGCAGGTATTCCGAATGGCAGCGAGCATCCAGAACTCATTATGTCATTATGCAAAACAAAAGGCGAATGCATTTTAGTGTCTGGAAGCTGAGCAAGACTGATGGTGTGCATACATGTAAGTACAATGATGAATGCCATCTCGTCTGTTCATGACGGCGGGGTTTTAATTATTCGCTTGAGATGTGACCGTGGAAGCAGGTGTTGACATTCTTAAAACTCAGGAAGCATTTAAAATGCACACATGGGCACGCTCGCGTGCGTCTACTTCGCTACACAGAGTCACCTATTGTTATGGATTTCCTCCTGGTCCGGCAGCAGGGCCACCTGCCCATCATCATTATCATTATCAGGCACCGCTCGCGGGACAAGAACAGGCTATCGGGACCTGAGCATGATTTGTCTCTACTCTCAACACGCATCCATGTGTACCTTCTTCTTAAAGCAGAGAGCCTCCAGGCTGTCCAAGAGAGTTCTCTCAATACCGAGAGGCAGAGCTAGTTCAAACAATAATACGAGGACGAAAAAAGTGCTTTTTGCTTTGAAAGCACTTTTCTCGTCCTCGTATTATTGTCTGTACCTTCTTCTTATGAACATGCCTGTCAACAAGCTCTTTGACCATTGTGTGGTTGTCACACCAACACTCTCCATATCCGGTGAAGGTCGACCTGGCATGTTCAAATACACGCCGTGCACAGGAATCATACATTTCGGTTCGCAAGCCACATGTTCCTAGAGAACCGATACTCCTTGTTTACCGCAGCCTGTTCTTGTCAGGTCTTGGAAGACGCGTTTCTAGCATGCATGTACGTTGATCTGAAGGCGGATGTTGTTGTTGCACCCAATGTGACATCAAGTAGCCGTGGGCGAACACGGGCTTTGGCTGGTTGCCAGCCGGCAGAACAACGCATGCACACAGTTTATTCGAAGATGTTGACGGCTTGAATGCTACTAGTACGGGTCGGTGCATCAGACCCCTCGTGTGCGTCGTGCCTCGATAGTCATTTAGGAGGCGATAGTTGGGAAACTAGTCCCGTTCCTATCACCAATGTTAATTTACGTGACGACACCCGTGCCCATGCAGATCGCGGACACCCAGGACACATCCCCTAGCAGCTGGTCGCAATCCAATTGGCCTGGGTGCCAATCCGGAAGCCCAGAGTCTGCCCGCGAGCCCTCGCCGTTTGGACACGTCGGCACACGTGCGCAGACATCTACACGTACGGCCTAACACCAACATACGCATACACAAACCCTCTATAACATCGTACCCATCAAAATGTGCAGACTCCGCCGTAGCCATCCACTTTTAACCATACACCTTCACAACACTCATTAGGTATAACTTGATTTTTCACATTGAGATTTGCCTATCGTGCATCAGCTTTCCACGATTTGCCTGCTACGAATAGCATCAGCTCACAGTGTTGATGGGTACAATCAATTTTGCCCCACACGTACCCAATGTGGCACAAATGTGCTAAACGCATTTCCGAATATTTCCGCCACCAACGCACAGGTGAAGGTATTGGCACCAAATCTAGATGCAGCCACCATTGTTGCACGGCTGACTCCGGAACCGGAACAATCACGCAGCCAGTTCTGCATTTTAATGCCACACATCCTGAGGCCTTGTTCCGCTGCTCATTCTTGATCCTGTACTGCTGGCTCTGCTCCGCATGTGGCCCCCGATTTCCTGGTTGAAAGTAGCCATCTCACACGTACTTAAGTGAGACCTGAACCTAACCACTGTCAGCCATGCCTTCTTGCCCGAGGTCACTCTGAAAAAAGTGTCGAGATCACTCTAAAAAAAAGTGTCGCATGTAATTAGTCAAGCTAGCGCATGCACACACTCACCCACTATGCAGCTCTGAATCTGCTCATTGCATGCCCAGACTCACATAAAGGCTGAGTTGCTAAAATAACATCACATTGCCAATAGTACCTATGCAGCAGAGCTGGATAGGTAGTTCAAGAGAGTATGACACCATTTCTTTTCAGACCAGAGCAACCCCTGCGATTTCATCCGAAACCCGGAGCGGAATTTCCGCTCACTTTCCGGCAGGATTCTATTTCACACATTTTGCTGGAAACTGTCTTTGATTAGCCTAATGATATATATCGTCCTAGCACAGTGCTTTCTCTGGTCGGTGTGAATCAATGAATGCCATGATAATTATTGGTTGGGTACAGCATTGCTGCAGTTGATTTTGTGTGCATGCATCCAGGGTGCATTGTCAATTGTAAGCCTAGAATATTATGTTCTGGGGAGGGGGGAGATGATAGACCTATGAAATACCTCCCTCCCTTGTGAAGTAATTTCCCAGCATCCGGTCGCAAACACAGAGATGTTTAGTGTGTCCCAACGGGAGGAATTACTTGAGCAGTTGAAGAGCACGCAGGTTCTATACGTTTCATCATCAACAACAACCACACCATAACCGGGGGGGGGGGGGGGGGGGGGCTCTCCAGTGAAAAGTATGTACCGTATTTCCCCGATTATAAGTCGCACCTTTTTACACTAAAAGTCAGGGTAAAAAAGGGGTGCGACTTACAATCGAGCATGACTTACTACTGAAGTGAATATATCGCAACAATATTGCTCAAACCTGAAAATGGGGATGCGACTTATAATCGAGTGCGACTTATAATCGAGTGCGACTTATCATCGAGTGCGACTTATAATCGGGGAAATACGGTACGTGGCCGAATGCACCTGCTCACCGCATTATTTAGGTTCTATGCTGTCTACGTAATACAGTGCATTGCATAACTCTTGCTAACAACACACACAACGCCCAAAAGGGCTCTCGGCTACAACGTGTAAGTGTAGGAAAAGAATAAAAAATCATTATTCGGAGAGCAAGAGTTTTGTGGCCATTTTCTTTTTCTGAGCTGTGTGGTATCATGAATGATATAGTGGCTACACTGCATGGAGTCTTAGCACCCTGTTCAGCAGAAGTATGCCACAACTCCGCCAAAGGTACTGGGGTATCGGCCAACACGTGCATTTGCCAGTTAATCATAAGGTGAGCGACGCTGCCTGTAGTCGACCGTGCAAACCAGTCACCGTCCCCAAAGGTTCAGCCGGCAAGAGACAACAACAGTACCCGTCCAGTGTCTCATGGCGGCACCTATGTCAGGACCAGGTCACATCTAAGTCAACTTTTCCGTACTTTGCCCCCGTTCCCACACTGCAGTATCAGGATAGTCGACTTGGGAGCGTTGTCCAAGTTCAAAAGTACACTGCACTCTCCGATATTCAACACCCAAGAACTCCGTCTACTTTTCCTTGTCTCTCACATGTCATTCAGCACACTGTTTCTTTCCGCTGATGTATTCCTTTTTCCTGGGCATATTCCAATACTGTGTTCATTTTTCAGGCTGAAGGCGGGATATATAAGGAAGGGCTGAAATCTTTTTGCACGCAACTCCGAGGATCGGTTCATGCAACGAGATAACACACACTACAATGAGACTGTGATGTCGTGATGTGAATCCAACGGAGACCCTCAACTGCTCGTGCATGTTGTGATTGTGTGTGTGTGTGAATATCCGCATGCTAATGCTACAAAGAAACTTGCGACTTGTGTTTACCTTCCTGTCCGCGACGACCCCCAAATGTCTGGATTTAGAAATCAGCTCGGAAGAGGGACCTGGCCGTAAAATCTGCGTACTAATTGGAGGCAGAGTTTTTGAAAGCCATGCAGCGGAAAAAAGAAGGGATCACTCGGGGACAGACGATCAAAAAAAGAAGGAGAAAAGTGAGGAACTTCGGTTCGGCTAGTTCACGCGATGCGATGCAGCCTCTCGCTTCGGCCACGCTCAGTCGCTGAACACAACGCACTGTCTGTCGTTCGCAACGCTAGAATGAGCACCGAGAGGTGACCACAGAGGACGTGCGGATATCTGTGCGAATCATATCGCTCCAGGCCACAAGGGACCGAGGAATCAGCGTTCGAAAACCAACCATTAGAAGACCTTCTCATCGCGACTCTGAGCCGAAGCCGAATGTCAAGGCTGTCGAAAAGCGGATCTGGCACGGTTTTTCGTTACGGATGGTAGCCAGATGGCCAATAAACAAGAGTCGGAACCCTTTTCGTAATTGCTAACTTCCATCGAGGATCTGGAGACCGGCACCAGATTCTAAGGCGACCCAAACCAGCTACTGTTATCCAGCATTATCGCCCCGGCGAGCTGCAAGGGTCAGCCAAAAATTGCCCTGCGTACAACTACAAGCATTCTCATCGTCGTTTTTCTAGGCGCTGCTGGAACAACCTTCATGAGTCGCGGAAAGTTTGTAAGGTTTTCTACGCCATTTTTCGATGGCAATGCGGATCGTTGGTCACACTGGGCTACCAGTTTTTCGACGACATGAAGAAAACAACAGTTACTATTGCGACAAGAGACTTCCATGGCTTACAAAGTAATGGAATCGGGCTACTGTCCCAGTTTCTGAACATTCCATTCCCTGAACGTGATCCCCGAACACCTCCAACACATGCACAGCCTAATCAAGTAAATATGCCTACACGCACTCAACTCATCATCACGCACGGCAAGCCGATCTGTAATCACAGAGTACACGCAGGACGAGCTTGTCTCCGTGTTACTAACACGGCTGACAAGGACAGCATTCAACACGGCAAAACCATCACTAATGCAAAGCCTGACCTGGCACACACTATAACCATTCATAGCTCACTTACCGGCAAGAAGTTCAACCGCCTCGTCGATCGTGATCGTAAACTCCTGCTTTGCCATCATCGCTCTCGGTTTTTTCGGTCGCAGCATTTCCCGGAGAGTTTCCGATGCGCTACTTGCGCTACTACGGCGCGCGTCCAACATGACGGCCAGCTTGTCGGAACGGTGCTGAGTGATAGCGATGATGCGACGTGTGAAAATATAAGCAGGACAGCTGACGAGCTGGTTGGACTAGTCGCGGTGCGCGCTGTGTCCAACCGGTCGTCGTCGCTGGTTGTGCGCCGACTGGACGGATCGAGTCGTAACCCGGCAATACGCTAGACGACCCGGTCGGGAGTCACCTTTTCTCTCTCTCGCGTACCTTCACTTTGTGTGGAGAGGAATAGCATTACCATTTCGACGGCGTATCGTGGTTCAGTAGCTGCGACGAAATCAGTCCCCTCGCACTGGACAAGAATGCATCAGGACAGAAAAATGGGGAGTTGGAAAGGAAACACAAATCTTGGCAATGGATATTAAAAATTAGGAGTAGATCTCAGGCTCCAGAATGCAATAACATTTTCTCCTAATCGTACAGCATTACGCCGTAATTAATAGAAAGCCGTCGTAGTCCGTCCAAGGGCGAAATCTCGATGCTGTCCCCAGCGAATACAATGCATTGAACATGATGTGCAGGGTTCAAACGCACCACTGCACTGCCGCCAGTATTCCGTGAATCACGAGGATTGTGCAAAGCGTGACCAGCGAAGGCCATAAGGGGCAGGCAATAGGTCTACAGACTACAGACTCAGTACATGGTACAATCATGGTAGAGGTTGTGCCGACACGTACATATCTACATCCGTACACGCGGGTGACAGCGGATGCCAGCCTGTTGGTCGGACACCGCTTTCTGCATGCCCTCCGCCCGGCTCTCCTCGAGCTTAGCTCAACTAACAACGACGTTACGTGCTCTACCACCGTTTTTACGTTGAATACATCACTTCGACCACTCGTGCCCACTGCACTGGTGCGACCGCTTGTATAGTTCTGCTGCAGCCTTGACTGTTAAACTCACTTCTGCTGACCGCTGTTCGACACAGGGTAAGGTCAGCCCATTGCATCAAGCGTGCACGATGACTTACAATTACCGGTGATTTTCATTCTTCGAAAACAAGCCGGTGCCCAACCAATGGGCTGTATTAGCATTAGCCTCGAGTCTGGGCCGTGGCAAACACAGAAAAATGCACTAGACTCGATTGAAAACATTCAGCGCACGATCTTCAACTGACACAAATTTCCTATGTCTTTCAAGTGTTTTGCTGAGCATCTGGGATATTCTGGAGTGCCAACGTTCGGGTTTTCCGAAGTGACTATTTCGCGCGATGACGGTGGTGGGCCTTTTCGCGCCTGGCACTCATCGCCTGCATCAGCGTGGAACTAAGCATCTGAAGGGTCTTTGTCACCCCTCGTGCACGCCTCAGTGTCTTACCGCCCGCCGTGGCACCTACAAAGACAGTATATTGGCAGCGCCGGTCTCAACGAATACAATCCAGAACACTTATACTCACGATGTCCTCCTTGTACTGTTATAGCAAAACCAATCATAATAATTATCCAGGCCCAAGCTCTATCTACGGTAGATTTTCGGATAGATCGGACCAGCATTGAGCAACTGAGCTGAGCCTTACTAACTTACTACAGCGTAGAGAGCGGGCGAAGGCCGGGCACAATCAGATCAGATGCCCGCACCTCTCTGAGACTGAGGGCAGTTGTGACCATTGCCATTGGGTGGCAGAGCGTGCCCACGCAAAACCAGTACAACTTCTGTCTGCGGTCGGCAAGTCGTTTCACTGGTGTGAAAGCATGAAAAGTGTGAAGTGTGAAATGTATAACACGCACTTTATACCTCCACGCAAATAGGCGCGGCGTGAGACGACCGAAACGGCCACAATACCCAATACTAGCCAAAATAGCACCTAGGCCTAGGTGTGAACATATTTTGTCACCAGTCGTGACGGTGAGGTGTGACATTCGATGCATGCTGCCTTTACTCGGCCCGGGGATCGATAGAGATTTGAATGTCTTGCACAGCATGCGCACAGGGGGTGGGGTGTTCGTTCATATCATGCTGTCTGGAACATGGGTACGGCCTAGTATGGCGAACATGTAGATGTGTAGATAGATAAACTGATTAGATGAGAACTACCTGCGCAGGCGTAGTTGCATGTCAAGGACATCATTCTAATAATTATGCTCCTTGGCTTGAGCCTACGATACCTGGAGTCGTTCTCTATATATTGCACTACATATAGCAATAGACACAGGTAATTATTCGGAAGTTCAGAGAAAGGACAGATCGTATTTTTCGCAGTCAGCGATAGCCGCCTTGGAACGTCCGGGAAGCCAACATCATAATTTGACAGCAAGACAAGAAACGAGCTCAGTCGGGAAGTTGTTGTTACTTTCCCAACACAGATGTTCGCTGATCATTGCATGTACGCTAGGAAACTCCAGGGTGGAACGATTGTCGGGTTTCGTGCTACACGTCAATCAGACCGACTATCACAACCCACTTGTATGGCGGCAGAGAGCAACTCAACAACATTGTTAATATTGGAATAAGGATTAAGGTCGACCCGCACATGATGTGAGTATTAAAGATCGTAAACGCCGCGTGCCATATCCATGATATCAGAAGGTCACTGATCATATTAATGGTAAAGTCGGGAACGCACTGTCGCACACCGTCGCACACAGAAAATAGTATCTGGGAGCATCGGGAGCATCGTGGGGTGCACTATCACTTCACCATTAACTCTTGATGACCTGTCACAATAGCTGTCACTTGAACCGCTTCGCAACACAAATCCTGGAATAGGACTGGGAGGCCAAAGTACGCCTGATGTTGGACGAGACAAACTCCTCTAGACATGACCTCCGAACTCAGCACGTCAGTTGAGTCGCGTTTTTCAACGTATGAATTTGACCACACGCGGGTCTGCGAGAACTTTCCCTCCAACTACAGGTCGATGCGCATGGGTGAGCCCCTTCCTAATTGATACCCATTTCACGAGAACGCACAATCTCCGTTTATACAGCAGACGGTGCGAAATAATTTCATCCACGACCGAACTCCGAAGTCATCTGCTCCAACCTGACAAGCGCACAGGAAGTGCATGCAGGAAACAGAGCTGAATGTAGACCCTGCATGCTATGATGTGCTGCATGCCTAGTCTAAGCCTGCCGTCTAAACTAATACTAGTACTAGTAGTAGTAGTACAAGCAGAAATATTCGTCTGGAATTTAGTTTCGTCTTTTTCGTCCAAGGAGCTTTTGGACTAAATTAAATGCCGGACTAATATCGATTTAACTCGGATGGTGAGCCAATTAAATAATTGTGAAAAGAAGAAAGGCAAAATGTTACGAGTTATGACTAACTGTCCACCATTGTGTCGCACTCGCTGACTGCATAAGATCTGGTTACGTTGGTGGACAGTTAGTCATAACTCGTGACATTTTGTCTTTCTTCTTTTCACAATAATATCGATTTGTCCAGCTTTTCAATACACTCTTATGATCCATGGACGAAATTTACAACCGGACGAACTCCCTTTCTTTGGAGTTTGACGAAATTATTGACCGACAAAATTTTCTGCATAGAGTAGTACTTATTAGTAGATTAACACACTGATTGTGAAGTATTTTGTAGTGCAAACAAGGCACAGAGGAGGTTTATTAAGATCCGATTGTCCGTCTGGACACTGGCTTCCATTGCTCCATCAGCATGCATGATAACAGTACACCCCCCCCCCCCCCCCTCCCAGTCCTTCTCCCAATATCCGCGGCAGTGTTTACTAGGATAGAATTTAATTTTAAACGTCAATCAGAAAAGCATAGCCGGAATATCAGCAATGCACGCTAAGACGCAGTGCCCGGCGAATCTCACATCGCTTATCGTGACCGAACACGTAATCGTGCGTGGATCCTTGCTGTGGACATCGCAGGAGCGTTTGATCGTGTCTCGCATGTCGGCCTCCTCCACAAGGTACGTAGCCTAGGCATAGATGGTCCGCTTCAGAGATGGCTGGCGTCGTACCTGGACACCCGTTCCCTACAGTGCCTCGTTGGAGGGCGGACGTCATCTAGGTATACGACCTCCGCTGGAGTCCCCCAGGGAAGCATCCTTGGACCAACGCTTTTCCTGGCCTACGTCAACGACGCGCCAGATGTTCTCGCTGACGGCGCCAGCTTGGAAGCCTATGCTGATGATACAACTTTGTACAGCTTAGTCACCTCCCAGCAGACCCCAACAGTCGCCGCGCAGTCACTGCAGGTGTCCGTTGACCGACTGCACGAGTGGGGTCGTACATGGAAAGTGATGTTTGAACCGACCAAATCCCAGGCCATGACAGCCACCCTCAGACGCACCGGCTTAGATCTCCCCCCACTCCTGTTTGGTGGCACACTGGTGCCCGAGACAACTACCATCACCCTCCTTGGTGTGAAGGTGGACGCCAAGTTGACCTTCAGCGATCACCTACGCTCCCTAGCCACCCGTGCACGCCAACGGCTTGGGGTCCTAAACAGAGCCGCCCACATACTCACCCCCGCCGGCCGGACGACCGTATACAAGGCGTTCGTACGACCAGTCATGGAGTATGCGCCTCTTGTATGGATGGGAGCTGCGCAGAGTCACCTCCAGCGTCTGAACAATGTTCAGCGCCGCGCGCTTCATGCTATCGGCCCTGGGGCACACCTACCCAGCCTGGCCATCCGCCGCACTGTTGCCTCGCTTGCCTGCCTGTACAAGCTGCACTACTTGCCTGGTCCTCCGCAGCTGCTCTCTGTGTTGCCACCGCGCCACATCATCTCTACCAACCCCAGAACTCGCAGCGAGCACGGTGCTGTCAGTGGCCATGACCACCAGCTCCAACACCAGCTGCCTGCATCTGCCCCGCTGGCACTGAAGCGCTCGTTCCCACACTGCAGCATCAGCGATTGGAACTCCCTCCCTGCCGCTCTCCTATCCCAGCCTCCCCACAGCAAGAGAATGCAATCATTCAAAACGAATGTTTACCGCCATCTTCGCAGCACAAACTGGCTCTGGGCAGTCGATTCCCTATGAATAGTATGACGCTAAGACAGTTTCTCCCCCACAATCGCTCGTGTTAAGCCTTGGGTTTTTGCATCTTTCTCACCTGTACAGCTCTATCTTCTTCTTTTTTCATTGTTTTTGGTGCGTGTTTTTGGCCGTGACGCCGAGACCTCAGGTCGGCAGAGTCATCAATGCCCCACCATCACTGCTGCATCTCGGTGCAGCGCCTGCTCATTAGTTGTCAGTTTGTCCTAGTCTCCGTACTCTCCTTATTCTTTTCGAGCTGGTTATGTGAACGTAGTAAAAAAAAAAAAAAAAAAAAAAAAAAATACGTGAGTGGGCCAACGTCCTCTTCTCTTCTATCAACATGATTCAGCGCCTCAACGCCAAGCGAAGGACACAGATTTTACTGAGCAACCTAGCAATAGATTTTAAAGATATGGAACTGGAGGAAAGAACTCCTTCGAGGACATACGATTGTTTGCGACGCCCCGTACAAAACTGGTAGACCAGATTTAAACTATCTCTCCAGTCCTGCATATTCCAGATCTTTAGGGGTCGTCGCAAAAGTTTTCTGTCGTCCCTGAAACGAACATCGTTCATTTCGTACTTGGACCCCCTCCCCTCCCTCTGAAACGATCACAGTTTGCTACGCTGGACGACGAAAATCGCATGCATGTACATGTCATATGTACAGTGTCGGTCGACTTGCGATTTTGGCTCGCACCCCCTCCCCCCCCCCCCCCCAAATGAATCATGTTCGTTTCAGGGACGACAAAAAACTTTTGCGACGACCCCTTATAGATATTGTGCAAATTCCTCGAGCAAATACAAAAGCATTTCGCCTGAAAAAAACATGTAAGTCGAATAAACCTCGGAACCGCAAAAACAGATTATATAATCTAAATCTAGATTAAGTGGAGCACTAGAAGTGTAGCACTGTGCCCTATTTGGAGGGATTGGTCATTCTGGCACAGTTCATACAACTAACGTCTTACTTTGCAGTGAGACCTGTCCAGTAAGGCGACCCTTTGCAGTGAGACCTGTTTCAGGCGACCACTCCAGGGGACATAATTATACATGTGCATCCGTAGAGTGGCGCTCACATCTTTGTCACGAGACTGGGCTTGTGTAGAAACTAGAAAGCGATCATGGCACTTGTACAGTGGAACAAACATGGCCGACATCACGTAGGCCACGGATGCAACGGTTGCCTGGAGTTGGAACTAACATGGCTGTCCTGTACGGTCATGTGATGATCAACTAACAAGTACTGTAATTTCACAAATTTTCGGTGTACTTTTATTTTCGGTACTTTCGGTGCATCTGTTTCGTACCTAAAATTTCAATGCACCGAGCAAACACTAACACACATAATCCAATAGGGAACTGCTTCTCTGTACCAAAATTTTCTGTTCACCTAACCTGGCCTTTTGCCCTCATACCGAAAATATTGAGCACCGAAAATTTCTGAAATTAGAGTATTCAATAGGTGCTATGATCGTGGTTGGAGGATTCTCAACACTGTGTAAAGCACAGTGGCACTGAATGAATACTGATGTCTTTTTCGTTACTTCCCTCATTATGGGCCAGGCCCGAAAATTTGGTGTAATGTAAATCTTAATTTTATTTTGAATCGAAGTGAAGAGACCGTTTTTGGAGTTGAGAAGTGAAGTTAACTGACTGTGTAAGTGGCTGCATTGGAGTTTGCGGACAATTATAGGAGGTGATAATGTAGGAGAAATTAATTAACAGCTGAGAGCATATGTCTCCAGAAGAACTCAGTCCAGGATGATGCCCCAGCAGGTATAGCGCACAGTCTGACTGGCCTGCAGAGACAGCGCCATCTGCCCACGGCGATCTGTTCTCACTGCATTGTTGGGAGCGGGGATGCGCTCTCGCTAAACATAGCTTAGCCCTAGAAGCAATTGTGAGCAGTTTGGCAGGCCCCACGCACCATGTAAACACAGCTAGGCCAGGCTCCAGAAAAAATCATGATGCAAGCCATGCTTACTCTGTCCCTGTAGCAGCAATCCGGATAACATCCCTGTATTTCTTCTCCTCTAATATTAGGCCTTCGTGAGAATAAACTATTTCAAACATGACACATTCAGAAATGGGACAAGGAACACTGTCCTAGCAGAGCCACACAGCCATTCATGGCCATTCAACCGGAGGAAGCCAGGAAGTAAAAGCCAACGAAGCCCGTGCGACACTAACACGGAAAACGTGACGCTTTCCAAAAGGAGCTAGGCCAACGGCGTGCACCGGCTAGCTATTCACGCCTACGCATAGGGAGCAGACGCCTAAATACTGTATAACATGACATCTTAGGTGTACTAAAATGTCGGTGTCAGAGACCTGCCGGTTTTCAAGTGTAATGTAGAATTAGGTGACCAGCCTGCCCTTCATAATACAGTGCATACTCTAGCGCCTTTTAGGTGGAATCTAAATTTAGGTGCCTGGCTTCTCTACCAAAGTTACCGAAATTAAACTCACACCGAAATAAACGTGTTATGCAGTATACAGTGAAACCTATCTAAGACGACCGCTCAAGGGACCTTCAACAGTTGGTCCCCGTGTACAGGTGGTGTCCTTATCCAGGGTCATTTGACAGGAAATAACACCCCTTGGTCCTGGTTGTAGGTGAGGCAGGCGGTCGCCTTATCAGAGTGGTCGCCTTGACAGGTTTTTGAGTATACAGTAAAACCTGGTTTGAGCAACCACCCCAACGGTGCAAGCAGAAGCGGTCGTTAAAGCCAGGTGGTGTTTAGAACCAGGTCCCACAGTGTCTGTGTAGAACTGTCGGTGCATGGAAAAATGGTCGCTAAGAGCAGGTGGTCGCTAAACACAGAGGTCGCTTACACCAGCTTTTACTGTAATACGATATTGACGACTAGCTTGCCACGGACTGTGCTGTGTGTAGATAAGCAGCATACTGATGAGCGTTGTCTTGGTAACCATGCTGGACTGTCCAGTGGGTACAGCAGCAGCACAGCAAGTCAAAAACGTTTATTCCTTTTCGAAATGCAATCAATCCGAGCTTTCCTTTTTTTCATATATTATAGCTTGGACAAATGTCTTGATACATGTACATTGTACAGTTGCGCTTACTAAAATCCAAATTGAAGTACAAAGTTGGCGCCCTGGACCAGTTCCGATTACATTACTGCATGTTTACATGTGTGCGTCCAGCCGCATTCGTGCCACTTCCAGGGCGTGAAGGGCTGTGCAAGTTCAGGGCGCAAAATATGAACTTTCGATCAGAGTTCACTAAGGGCACTGTACTTCACAATATCATTACTTCACATCCGAAATTGACCCGTTACAGATGACGCGAACAAAAAAAGAAAAAAAGGGACATATCGTCAAAAATTGGGCTTGTCCGGGATTTGAACCCGGGACCTCTCGCATCCGAAGCGAGAATCATACCCCTAGACCAACAAGCCACTGGCAATATATTCAAGTCGGAAAGCAGTTGTAAGTATTTCCAGATATAAAAGCCGTCCGTAAAATTTGCTTAGCAACGTACAGTCTGCTTGCAATGCATCGAGAAACAAAATCACCCCTCAGCGCAGGAGTCTATCTCTACTACATACAAATTCCCCGCCATCGACAGCAAGCAACTTGCCTTCGCTCACCTATTTTCTGTGAGCCCATGAGCAGATAAGACGCTCCTGCATTAAACATTCCGTACCCTGACTATGCCCTTACCGTTATTTGTGAGAATGTCCGATGACTAGCATGGCTAGCGCGTATCCAAGAACAGCTGACCACAGATAGATGGTGGGTAGCAACGGCCGATCGGAACATCCGAGGGAAGAGAGAGGGAGAGGAGAGAGATAGAGATAGAGAGAGACAGAGAGACAGAGAGAAAAGAGAGAGAAGAGGATGAAGACACAAGAAAACACACGCACAAGCGCACGCACACAGAAACTGCTAAGTTAGCTCAAACACCAATAGCAATGACGGAGCCCACCCAGCACAGTTACCTGCTCGGGTTCGCTCTGCACTGACAACACAGACAGCTGCCACCTGCACTCAGACAACTAAATCGTTTTACGCCCACGGCAGCTATTTAGAGTCAGCAATTTCACACACTACCACTACAACTCGAGTTTTACCCGAAACATTTGCATTCTGTATCTCGTGCAGGATGCACTCATGTTTTAGGGATTAGAAATTCGATGCAGCGAACCAAGCTGCCGCAGACAATACAATCTGCCGGCCGCCCGCTTATGCAATCATGAGCCGGAGCTTCACAAATCCGCGTCTGCCACGGACAAAAAAGCCTCACCACGACTCATGATGACTTGCAGAGAACACAACTATTTCAACACAATGGACCACGGCAGACTGAGCAGGAAGAGATAGAGAGAGATAGAGAGAAAACTACCCAGCTCCCATGCACTCGAAAACAAAAACAGCAAAAATATAAAGTGCACTTGAATAGACGGTCGCATGCATGCCGATGAATAGTTTCGGGTTGTGGGAAACACATTTGCATGTGGCCTCACTGACTGCTCCACAATGGCAGACATCTGGTGGAGGAAGCTACAGGTCAGCAGGATACAGGATGAAAGGAGATGGTGTTCTGCTGCAGATGTACAGCTGTGCAAGTCAGGTCCAGGCCGGCATGCTAATTCCAAAATTTTAATTCCGTTCAGTCTAGTCTGTCACTTTAATGGGACTCTGTGTGGTTTCGGCATTATGCGGATTGTCGTGTGCATTTGTGTGTGTGTGTGTGTGTGTGTGTGTGTGTGTGTGTGTTTGTGTGTGTGTGTGTGTATGTATGTGTGTGCACAGCATCTTTGGCAGACGTAATCAAAACCTGTTCTGTTCTACAGTCCATTCATCCAACATAATCCCGCCGGCGTCTAGAGTCCGAGTTTAGCCTCGAAAACCCACTTAGAATTTGAAACTCTGGGCTTGCACCAGTTTCTGCATACATTTCGCAATGGAAAACCGGGCATAATAAGCCCCGGGTAAAAAATTATACCCCCTTTCCTTAGACTTTTCCGGCCTCAAAATGTGGCAAAGAGGAATTTGCATGGGTCACACAATGCAAAATCTACTGCTGTTTTCTCCTTTTTCCGCTATTATACGTGTGAGACAAGAACAGGTTACAAATGACAAATTTGGATGAATGGACCGTATACTGCACAATGTGGTTGCACTAGAAGTAGGCGGGGTCTCGTGCAACTGGTCCATGTACAAATAGCTTAACAAATACCACAGACAAGCACGCCAACGACTGAGCTAAGACTACTCCTGTTAGACGCGAGCCGAGCAGACTCCACTGCACGAAACACACTCCAGTGCAATGGAAGTATGCAAGAGAACACAATCATAGTGGTTGCTTGGCACAAGCGAAACTTCCCAAGCTGGCTGTTTCTTTCTCAACACAATTGTATAGCCGGTCTTAACGCGGACATACGCACTTTAATATTTTGTATGCATGAAAACTCTAAATCTACGCTCATGCTAACACAATCAATGGCATAACACCACGACCAAACATGTTATGCGGCCCTACAGGTAAACACGCCTATTCATCCAAGAAAACTCACAAAGGGTATTGTTCTAAATGCAAATATATTATTAAATTGTGCTGAATCTGGAAGACCTTAAACTGACTTCCTGAGATTAAAGCAGTGCACATGGTAACATGCCAGGGCAAGCCGCATGACAGCAGGTCACACAGCATTCCGAGACGACGACGGTGCACTACTCAGCTTGCAGCCAGGCGTGCAACGGCTGGCGTCGGCGTGGCGAAAACCTGGCATGGAGGCAGTCCGTATTTGCACTCACATCAACCCCGCCAGCTCAATTCTGCTTTTCGAGCAGCATGCCCGGAACACACAAACACAGCCTAGCTCAGCAAGATCGCTCTACGGATGACGCCAAGCCCCATATCCCGGGACCGATGCCAAATCACAAGCCTGTATCAGAACGGAAGACCTCTGCCCCGCGGCACCAATAACAGTGGATTGAAAACAGCACACGTATATCATCCATTCACACGCTAACGCCATAGGCGAGCACACAGCTGAGATAAATTCCGGTAAACACGGCAGAGCTCTCAAAGCGGTCTGCCTAAACAACAACTAAACACAAGCTGGACCGGTGCCCAAACACACAGCCAAGCATCGGAAAAGATTACAGGAAACCATGAAAGAGAGCACAAAGCGATGATGCACACACGATAATCAACGGATTAGAAGATGCCGGATATGTATTCTGTAAACATCAATTCAGGATGCAAACGTAATCGCCATATGCGGCACTACTGGATATAGGTGAACTGCTCCGTAAAACTCTAACCACTACCGCAGCAATCACACTCATACGTTCTCGAGTCTGAGCACTGGGTGTAACCAATTGCCTTCCCAAGACACCGATCAACACAACGATAACGATACCGGGGGTATGAATGAATGCTATGGCTGGCTTGCCGAGCAGCACTGGTTCAAACACACCGGTGGACTGTGCTACAAGGCTGTCCCGTCAACACGGAATCATAGCAATGCCCGTCCTGGGGAAACAAAGACTTAGCTACGCGACGAGCGGATGTACCGCTCAGCACACAAGTCCACCCATAGCATGTATTTGAATCTACGTGTGCCCAACATACAACCACCTACACATCACATCATCAAGAAACGGCCGCGTGAAAGTGAGCATTGCAAAAACGACCACCCCAGTGAGGGTAGTTCCCCAGCTCGTGCCACATTGCCCCGAGCAGCGCAAGCTGCAAAAGACAAGTAGCTAGCAAGGTTTAATAAGATGGAATGTGCCAAATTCAAAATTCTCTCTCAAGCTGCAGATCAACAGTTCTGGGGCAGAAAATGCAGACCACCTAGCTTCTCATCCACTATGCTGATCATCAAGGTATAGTCATGTAGGAAAGTGAGCAGCCAGCCAGCTGCAATACAGGAATGCTACACTCTGCCTGTCAGAGCTCTGACACCAAATTCAGCATTCCTGTCCATCACCTGCCAGAATTGAGAAGAGGGGCTTGCCGGGGGCCTGTTGGACAAACTGAGCACGTTGTGTGTTGAACAGAAAATACAGGAGAGTACTTTTAGCGGGACATGCTTCACTCACAAGGTTTTTGAGATGGCCCGCCAGCTATGACCTAACACTAGACTGTATTATAGAGTAAACAGCAGAGATGGAGAGTAAGAGACTAGAAGGCAAAAAGAAAGAGAAAAAGGAGAGAGAGAGAGAGAGAGAGAGAGAGAGAGAGAGAGAGAGAGAGAGAGAGAGAGAGAGAGAGAGAGAGAGAGAGAGAGAGAGAGAGAGAGAGAGAGAGAGAGAGAGAGAGAGAGAGAGAGAGAGAGAGAGAGAGAGAGAGAGAGAGAGAGAGAGAGAGAGAGAGAGAGAGAGAGAGAGAGAGAGAGAGAGAGAGAGAGAGAGAGAGAGAGAGAGAGAGAGGCAGACAACAAACTGACAGAAAAAGAGACAGAGTTCATGGATGAAGCGAATGTGGTATTCGTCTCCATCCACTTCTGTATGTTTGACTGGATCACCATCACTGCAACTTGACAACTCCATCCACCGCCTAGACCCTTGCAAGGGATTGCTGGTGGACGGGCACAGATAACAGACTATTATAGGGTTTATTGTGCCAGTGGTTGTGAGACTTATCCATTCACCCCCACCGTTAGGCGCTGCATCTGCCGCTAGGGTTTATCGGGTGTTAGCGGCCGTCGTGAGTTCCCTTCGGGAACGGACACGATAATTTACTTTTTTTATAGGGTTAATACCCCCCCCCCCTCCTCTTCCTGCTCTGTGGATTCATCTCGACTAAAAACACAGAAACAGTGGCTCCAGTGAAAACGCAACTTCAGTTCCTAACACATAGATCAATGCTGGATCGACGGAATACACATTCGATGGACAACAATGGGCCCGCCACACTCATACGACAGAAGCCAATCTCAAAATGACAACATACATGTACGGCCTTCATAACAGTGATTCAAAGCAATCCGAAGAAATGACATCACGCTTGGAACGGGGAAAGTCCCTCTGTGAACCAGATTGCGGAGCTGGCTGATGAAGTGCCGGACAACTAGCGATGCCACAAACAAGCACATGCAAATAACAAACATGCCAAAATCAGCTCCAAGGTGACTGGAGGGATGACAGAGAAGAGGTCCGCGTTCCATCGTGGCCCAGCAAGGATGTAACGGCAGTGTTACATCGTGACACAGCAAGTGTGCATAAGACTAATCGCCCTCACCACTGTATAGTACTACCTGTCAAGGCGACCACTCGGAGAAGGCGACCACTCGGATAAGGCGACCACTCGGATAAGGCGACCACCTGTCCCAGAAGACCACTGCAACCAGGACCAAGGAATGTACGTCCAGTCAAATGGCACTGGATAAGGAGACCACCTGGTTACAGAGACCACATTTTGAAGGTCTCTTGAGCGGTGGGCGTCTTAGGCAGGTGTTACTGTATAAGGTTTCCACAAAGGTGCTCAACACGAGACAAACATCAGCTTGGTAACCGCTGCATGCGTGCGCGAGCAAGCTCTATTGTCCCCTAAGCCAGCCTGATCTTTTCTCTCCAGGTCTGTTTGAATTTCAGCAAGCACCCTCACCAGTGCGCGGCAATGACAGGTGCGTGTTTTCATCAGCTAGATAGTCAGTCGTTTTGGTTGTCATGCCATCGGCTGGCTTAAAACCTAAGCATCGAATGACATTGACACGTTGGTAGAGCAATGTGTCTTGTAGCTGATTAGTACAGTCGGTCAGGAGGCCAGGGCGCACGCATACCAGGCACGTCTGCCAGGCGTGTGATTCAGCACACACAGTAGCAGATAAGCCCACATCGCTACGGAAGCGACACGCCACAGCATTCCCTTGTTCGTCGTGCCCTGAATATCCGATCCGGGGAAAGAGCACCGCATCCGTCCGGACGCACTGTGCCATGTGGCAGGTGACGTGACCACTTCTTCAGCTACCTCACCTCGTCACAGATCAAAGAACAAGAATGCCGCTGATACCAATACACCGAGGTGGTTTGCCGCAAAATAGACCCCAGTGACAGCGTCCTTCCGGCAGTAAATTCTTCATGCTCAGATCTTGAACAGGGAAACACAAATGTTCGTCGGAACTACAAACCAGCATGCAGGATATTTCTCCGCCACCCAGTGTGTCAGCGGGCACCAATGCTACAGTAGAATGCGTGATTGGGCGGATGAAACGCAATACAAGTTGGCACGGAGGCACAGTGCAAATCAACCCATGGTGGGTACGAGCTCCACAGGTCCCACACATCTGGACTGCGGTGTGTGTGTGTGTGTGTGTGGCTTGCAATACTGCGGCAGTGTGCTCCGAGAGGGTGGCATGGCTTTTTCCTGGACGCACTACGTCTCGCTGCAGCCGACTTCCTCGGAAATCAGGAACACCTGACCCAGAGCCCTTCCAGAATGCACAAATCTCGACCAGATTGCACACAAAGTGGCACGAATATAGTTTACTCACGGTCCACGGCACGTAGCGGACTACCGGCACACACGCATGAATACGGTTCTGGCACTGACACACACACGGGATCTGTGTCAGCGTTGCACGGAAGAAACTCAGTTCAGAACACCAAAAGAGTCCGCCTGCCTACCGTTTCTTGCTCAATACTCGACCAACATCGTAACCACTTAGGAACCACTTACTGCAAATACCTCAAAACTCAGTTTAGCAGCACCAGTGAGTTCTCAGTAAGTGGCCAGAGGCATTTTCGACATGGGATATTGTCAGAGAGTAATGCCCCGCAGTGACACACACAGCCACAAGGAATTTGTGTGAGCTGGAGAGGCAAGTTTGGAGTAGTGACAAGGTTCCTTAAGCACCTGGTGCCCGTTGTGATTAGCTGGCAGGGGGAATTACACGCACAGGCCGGGACTTTCCCTGGCATTCTGCACAGACCAGAGGTGGAAATACGGGCGCTGCAGTGGGGAAGCAGTAATCCAGGGCTTGTACTATTGAACTGGAGCAATGGATCACCGTAATCCATAGCAGTGCTATGGGCCCTTGCTTTATGCTATGAACATTTCCATTAAGTCAAGATACTACTGAAAAGTCAGTCCAAGTGGAACAGTTAATGTTTGGGGAGAAAAGTAAACAATCCTGATATGGAGCAGTATCTCGGAGGCTTTAGCACGGGAATCAGCCACACATAAAATCCCGCTAACAAACTAGATAGGTCCAGTGCTCTACAAAACTGCAATCCTGGGATTGACAACAACTGAAACAATATCTTACTCTGGAACGGAGAAAAAACATATGGATACTATCAGAGAGAAGCTTTTTTAAGGATTCGTGCACTCCTGCATGTACGTAACATGAGAAAAGACTTCGGCAAGCCACCCAATGCTGACACCAAACAAGATCGGGAAAGTTAGCTGTCCACAGACCGCATAACACGAGAATCTATTATAGTTTCTTTTCGTTATATATTTTATTTTCAAATTTAGAAATGCATAAGGGTTCACTGAAGATAATTGTATGTTTGTAACCATTCATAGCGAGTTGACGAGACTAAAACAAAATGAATGAAAAGAATGGCCAATGTGTCACAAACTTACTCGTTCCACCCAAACTTCACGCTGATGTCTGTGCCGCTGTTTTTCATTCATTCATTCCACAAATCCCCTTCAACAAGCAGCAAATGGGACCTGGACTAGAGACATATGCCAGCAGATCCCGCGGCGATCTCCAGCTTACTGTGAGAGTGCACTGGTTGCGCGTGGAAAATTGGAGTTTTGCTCTCCAGTGCCACCGCACACACCACCAATGGCCAGTAACACGCTGCCCACGTACTTGAGAGATGAGAACGTTGTGTGCCGTGCATGAACTTGAAATCCACAGCAGCACTATTCCTGTGTGTGGTGCTACAGTACAGCCATGCCAAGCCTGGAAAGAGAGCTACGCAGCTCAGCCCGAGTGACGTTACCAGACCCGTGCGTGATTCTCAGAAGGCGAACCACAGTCATGCATAAAACATCTACGGCCTATAACACGGTATTAGCTGAAAACTATGTTTTCTTATCCCCCTCCGCCCCGAAAAAAGCCAGAGTATTCTGCCGAAAGTCATGCCACTGAACACAACTGTGTGCGGTGAGCAAATCGGCAAAAACTCTCCGACTAGCGAACCTGCATCATTGTAGGGTTCTAGCGCCACACGGATGGTGTGTTTCGGAACGTGATTCGCAACAGGCACAGGCCAGGTACTGCGGCACATGGACACGTAAGATCGAGAAGGATGCCTGTTTTTGGAAGAGGCTCTGTCGAGTATCATCTTCGACCTGTCATGGCATTCCATAAAAAGTCACGTGCTGGGGTCACAAAATGACAGCTTATCATAACATCTGAACCAGAAACGTTATTCACTCTGTAATTGTCACAAAGAAAGGAACTTGAAAACATGGTTTAGGAGTTATCAATGACAATGTCATCTCCTGCCCATATTGGTAGGTATCCATGGTCTGGCCATCCCAGGGTGGATCTTTTCCTAAGGCACCTCCCAGGTCCGGACGTGACTTTGCTTCTCAGCGGCGCACGACCATCAGATCTTCAACAGCACCTTTTCGACAGACTTGCGGGCCACATTCGACAGGGTCTTGTGCTGTGTCTACTGTTGTCCAGTGTTGGCATGTGAGAAGCTTGTAGAAGCTGTCAAGATTCGCCCTACCTGGCTACATGAACATCAAATAGGCAGTTTCTCTTGGCAGTTTCGTCATCTTGGACAGGTGTTGCACACAGCGGAATCTGTCAACCATTCAGAAATCGTGAATGGACCCAGTGCTGGCTCACCCGATCCAAGTGCGAAATCGCCTAACTCCGCAGCCTAACTGTAGGGAGTTCAGTCACGTGACAGCACGGTGAAAAATCTTCGTCACGCGTCATGCATGCATTTATGACGTGAGCATGGCACAAAAATGTGCCACGTGGAAATATTGATTTTTTTTTAGACTTGTAGTTTGTTGAAGAAGGAGATGACAGCCATTTGACAGAGGAGATTTTTAGCTTTCGTTTGGTGTCTCACTCGAGGTCACAGTCGTGAGATGGGACTTCCCACGTCTTGCCGTAAAACTTTGAACGCGATTTTGATGTTGTTCCTTTGAGCGTTGACGGACGGTGATTCTTCCATCGTGTTCCTCGTCCCAAAATTAGGTAAGAACGATCGTCTTTCTTCATCTAGTTTGCAGCGGTTCCAGGCGGTAAGGAATATTTGTCTGCTCTGTATTTCTCTACAGCGAGAATTTGAATATTTGAATTCTTCATGGCCGATGAGGAGGAGAATAGCCCTGGACCTGCATGTCGGAGGCTTGGTATTTATTCAAGCAAACTGAGAAATGCGTTGAAATCAGACGAAGCTCTTACCTGTTTGAAGACGAGTGATTTTCCTGTCACCAACGATGTCGTTCTGGAGCTACTTACATTCAAAAATGCCTCGAAGTTTTCGTTCAACGATATGTTGAAATGGACTGGTTCTCTGATAGGTTCCAGTACCAAAGATATTGCTGTTGGCACGTTTGCCTCTAGAGTCCGTTCTCTGCAGCAACGTCGAGCAAGGCTGCTGAAGGACAAAGCCAGCGATCAGATTGCTGTCCTACTGGCTGAGCCCTTTATACTACCCTCTCCATCATCCGGCCAGTCGGAGTCAGGTGAGCGTCAGGAAGCAACTCCGCTTGACCCAACCGGCCACACCAGCAGCTCGGCTCATGTTGCAGGCAGTCAGCACGCAACTCCCCTGGAGCCAACCACTTACACCACCAGTCCGGCTGATGTGGACAGTCAGCGAGCAGCTTCGTCAGAGCCAGCCGCCAACACCACCACCTCGGCTGACAATGTAGATTGCGAGCTGGAGCCAACAGCAAAACGGCTCCGCGTTGAAAATGAATAATTTTATTGTCCAAATACATGGTCAAAGACATGGTCAAGACAAGTTTGTGGTTATTGTGTTGACTGTTTTTATTGTCTTTTTTGTGTCTTCCCCTCTTCCAACTGTTCTCTTCACTTTTTTTCTGTTCCGTTGCTATGGTAACAATGCTAGAATTTCCCGTTAACACTGTTAACCTACATTCCATTTTTGTTTTACCACGCTTGTGCAACGTTTTCACTCCATATTGTCATCATTGATATGTTTCGTTGCGTTTCTGCAATGTTGCTAGGGGTTGCCATGGAAACAATACACGGCGACGTGCCGTCAGGTAGTTGTTGTACATAGAAATGTTTGTACATTATTGCTTATCATATAGGCCTGTCATTTGGGCTCTTTTCAGCGAACTTTTTGTTTTTGTCACTATGTCCCCTGGTCAACTTCCCCTGGGTCCGTTTGTCAGTTTGTGCCATGCGTGCTATACACGTTTACATACAATTCAACACAATTCTATGATGATTGGCACCACAATTGAAATGACTGTATCTCAGGTTTGCTTTGAGATTTTCACATGAAATTTTCTGTGTGCTCTTGAAAGACGTGCTTATTCGATTTCCAACAGAATTTTCCTGGGAATTCTGAATTTGATTTTTTTGCCTGAACTCCCTACTAACTGCCCTAAGTCCAGCAGTCATTTGGACTCCTGTGATGTTCTCACGGCACTGAACTGCCTAGCGGCAAGAGGAAATCTTGCTGTAGCACGTCCTTGACGACTTCTATGCCCAGGAGTGACACTCGTTGACGAAGATTAATCATCACTTTTCGGAACAATTAAATTTACTGTCACCCGCTGAAACTCCGGCTCGGATATCTCGTGTTGAAGATCAATGGGTCTGTTAGCATTTTTCAAGGGTGAAGTACTCCGAGTACCTTATTTCGGAGTAGAGGTGCTTGTGTACGATGGATGCAATCCAACCCTACAACGCGCATGTAGACGAGAAATCTGGGACACATCCGTGCATTCGCTCGTGGGCAGACATCGCAAGAATCAAACAAACTCTATTTACCTACAGGCTGCAAAAACATCTTGGTCGAGAAACAAGAATGCCTCTGGTCGCAGATCTACGACGTTCTGCCATTCATCGAGGCGGAGAAGAAATAAATACGAGTGATTTACTTTTCTGAGCCTAGCCTGTCACGACCAGCAAAACGTTTATCATTATTTTTTATATGTAGATCTACCAGTCTTGCTGTTCATAAATCTAAAGCGAAACAGCTGCGCTCTTTTCGTATGCTCGCTACCACTAGAAAAGAAGAGACGTGGGTGAAGTGCCCGCTGTGTCTGGTCGCATGCATGCACGCAACCCGTCGCCCCGCCGCATGCACAAACTGAGTTTTGGACACGGCACACACACGCCGCTAGCAGCTGCGGGCACGTCCAGAGAGTAACATGAATGCGTGGCGCTCGGCTCGGCCACAGTACAGCACGGACTGGGAACCCGAGAACAATGAATAATAGAGTACCAACAGTACAGCCCAATACAGTAGAGGCCAATACAGTAGTATGAAAAGATCACTTGAACGGAGCGGCTACTATCGAAGATCGATGGTGCAGGCCTGCCCAGCTGCGCCCGTGTCGGAAAGGAGCACATCGATCGCCAATGCTGAAAGCTCCTTTCAATGCCTTCTTCAAAATACCTGTACTGCCTCTCATCACCTTTCATTCGGATTTCTGTGACAGAGGCTAGCACGATGTCATTCATCGCGAAGTTCGCATTGATAGGAAACAATTCTGTACGGAGCCACAAACATGAAATCAATAATGCGCATGCACATTTTGACTCCATCCACACCATCCAGGCGGTCACATTTTGTATCTTGTCGGTTACCACTCCACCAGACAGCTGAGACTCTACTGCCGAAATCAGTCTGGGATGGGCTGGACGGATCGAGGTACGAGCGGTGACGACGATACACCACTCCACGGTCCAGGCAGTAGAGAATGACTTCGTCGTCGATACACACTCGCAGTTAGTGCAGAATTCCCAATAGCTATTCACACACGCCACACGCAGATCGACACGCGGACCGAACACCACTACGACACCACGACTCACGAGCTAGACTATCGACGGTGCACTGATCTTTCAATTTTTCATGATTGCCACAGACCATTGGCATTGCTAGCCTGTAGACCTACTGGGCTGTAGTCCCCCTCAAACACCACACGCACACGCTACTACAACAGCAAGCTACACTGACCGTATGTGCGCTGCTCACACTCACGCTCACAGAGTCACATGCACACTTGACCTACCGTACCTTGCAGAATACCCCGTTGGCAATGCGACTTGCGACTGGGCCTCGGTGGTGTTGGGTGCCGTCCACCAGCAATCAGCGTCAGTGATGCTCGCTCTCACTCGCTCTCTCCACCTCGTGCTGCCCAGGACGACATTAACCGTATGATGACGAAGACCCAGTAACGCAGCTGTCCCAGTCTGCTTCCCGTGTTTAGCGCACGTCCACTCCGCGAACAACTCTTTATTGTATTGATTCCGCATGAACCGTTTGAAATGCACTCTGTTGAACGAAAGCTACACCTCCGTCACACCCGCATGCACAAAACTAACTTGCCAACGAAACCATTCTTCGATCAACTGCACAAAATGAACTTTACCGATAAAACAACCACAATGAACGGCCTAGCTAGGATGGCAGACTGAATTATTTTGGCATACTACGTTTCGTGTCAAATCAATGCAGCGACGTGCATTAGTGCCAATATATTAGAATGTATTCGCGTGGGCATTCTCACCGCTCGGTGAGTGGCGGCGCTAGGCTTTTTCCGATGGCTGCTAGAAGCTGCACAGTGAGCCGTAACTGACTTCTCGTGTTGGTGATGCAGTAGAAAACGTGCTACTGCACATTTGGATATCTCCGTGCAAATCGGCGCTGGCTCTAGTGGCTCGAGCCGTCATCACAGTAGTGTAGTGGTAACGTGTTTTCGCTGTGATGATACCATGATTACAGGTATGTGACAGTCTCGTGTCGGACTCGGTACATACACAGCATAGCAGCCAGTGCATGATTGTGCTGCTGAGTGCTGAGCCTGATGTGACCAGATGACGGCGAAATTCACCGAAAAGTCCATGATGACTGTACTGCACTACCGTCGATGTGGCTCTAGCTCCGATACTCCGTGCAAATAAAAGCGGTACGTGCATAGCGCATGCCCGAAATCAAATCAGCGTTGCTTCAACTTCAAGTGCAAAGGCCAGGGCCAGGGGCAAACGCCGTGAGCATGGTGAGTGGCAGAGAAAAACTAAAAAACTGATTTTTGCTCGTGCTCAACTCATACTGACTGTACTTGTTCATATCATACTACTACTACGGTGACAGCCGTGTCGGCACGTGAGACTCCTACGTCTACTATAGTATGAGTATGATCTACATTATGTAGTGCTGCTACAGCCTACAGTAACACGTATCTGTACCTGATGTACTACATGTACCAGATGTACTGCGAGCTAGCTGCGTGGTGGTCCTTTGGCCTTGCTTGGCACAAACTCAAACTCAAAGGCTGAAAAAGTGAAAAGTGAAAAGGGCAACGATCGATCGCTACGCACAAACCATGCAAACGCGGGGTTGATGTCCTGGTATAATGCCGGACTACATATATGTACACCAGTCGACATGCACGCAGCATGGTATACAATATACCTTGGTATACAATACAGTGTACAGTACCACTACATGACGTAGCCATCACCACAGGTACTACCGCCGGTACTACTACTAGTCACTACTAGTCACTACTAGTACTAGTACTAGAGCCAAGCTCAAGACTCTCAAGACTCACAAGACTCAAGAGTAAAGGTTTTTCATTATTTACAATGGCTATTTACCTCAAATGGTTCTTCACTTTCTGTATCACATTTTGTGGAATGAACAATAAAACGTACTACCAAACATACTGAGTGTTCTATTTATTTCCAAATTCGGGTTGCCTTTTTGCTTTTACTCCTATTTCATGGGTTCACGCGATTGACCAAACGTGCTAGCAATAGGGACCGGCGGATTCTGCTCGAAAAGGTGGCAGATTCTGCTCGAAAAGCAGTGAAATTGGCAGAACCATACAAACCTTATGGCGGGCAATTCCTCGAATTCTGCTCTATTTCTTTATCCACATACCAAACATGCATGAACCTTACCAGAAAAAATACCGAATATTCTGCCAATTTTCTGCCGGCAGAATCCGCCGGACCCTAGCTACCAAGAGTAAAGTACTAGTACTTGTATTTAGTAAACAATAGCAAAATACCTTTCTGTAATGAGTGCACTCTTGTCTTGCTAGTGATGCTGGCAGTGAGACTTGTACATACACGTACAATGCTGGCAACTGAAACCCGACCCCCTGAGCGGTGCGCTCGCATCGCAAAGAATGTGAACGCACCGCTCAGGGGGTCGGATTTCAGTTGCCAGCACTGTACAATGTACATGTACATGACTTTGTACATTGTATCTCTGCAGTCTGCAGTCTCTAGTGTATCAGAACGTATTTAATTTACTCTCTGTCTCCGTCCCGGATAGGACTGCCGACTTCAGACCTGATCATGAGTATGATATGAGTATGTTCGACAGACGGTGCAGGTGGTGCACCGGTACGCGGTGGGAAAGGAGAAAGTAAAAAAATAAGGAAATATAAACGCGAAAAGAGGGTCGTCATACAGTATACTGCAGTGGCAGATACAACGACTACGTCACAGGGGTCTTATTCCCGACGCTATGCAGTGAGCGTGGTGGTAATCAATACTAATCATGGTCAAATCTACTAGTACTAAGATATTAGTACTAGTAGTATCTCGATTTATCAATATCAGACAATCAGTGTACCATGGCTGAAAGAACTGAGTATGCCGCGACGCGCGCGTTCATCATTCCTTGGCGTGTTTTTTGTTGAGCCAGAGCTGCAGAGCTAGCTAGCTAGAGATCGAGAGCACGTCAACACTGAAAGCAACCGGCTCCTTCCCAGCCTCGGGCAATCGCCAATGTGGAGAAAAGAATTCAGTCGCGAACGAGCGTGCAGGCATGCGACTAGCAGTCAGTGCAAACTACCATTACTGAGCTCTGATCAGGTGATAGTTCTGCACTGGTCGCGACGAATCTGTTTATGGCCACGGTCGGCGCGGTGGGCATACGAGGAACTATTTCCACACGGAGTTGGTCGCGTCTTTGCTGTGGAATCACCATCCAACACCAAGCAACTAATACTAATACTTCTCTGGTATCTGTAGAAAACATCGCATGGATTTTCCTTTGTAGGAATGAAAACGAGGTGACAATATTATTATAAGTCAATGCCAATATTCACAATCATGGTATTACTATTAGTCAACGATACGGTGGTATTATCGTTAGTTTTAACGTACACTCGTGACGTAAGCATGTCTGACGAATTCGTGCCTGTTGAAAACTAAAATTAAATACAGGTAGGATATTCCTTTCCTCTATCAATGTCGCGACGCTCTCCACTTCAGCATCCCCAGCTTCCCCTCCGCAGAGCTCCCTTCTTCCTCACTAGTCTAGCGCAGGACATTCGAATGTACAATGTACAC